GTAAACATGATGGCCAAACTTCAAGGAAGCGAATACTTAAGAAAGTAATGAATTTGTTATAAGATTCAAAATCAGACAGAAAGGTTAAATAGCAATATATTCGTGTCTCTCAGACGTTGCTATTACTATAAATTCCAGAAAAGTTGATTTTAAAAACTGTCCATTCTGAATTCAGAGTACGTCAATGCGAAACTGATAATCTTTGTTGATAAAAGGAAGTTCATATCGACATGATTTTTTAAAATGGCTGTTGTGACGGTAAGATCGACACCATTTCTTTAAAACCACAATCACATCATCATTTGGCCAAAGCCGCGTTTTGATAGGAACATTCATCTCAAAGGAGTAGTGAAACAACAGTTTGAAGATGGCCACTGGGACAGCTAAAGTTAGGTCTAATCAGTACCTTTTTCGTAAAGTAATCCCAACGCAGTTTCAGATGAATAGGGAAAATAACATACAACGGGAGGACGACATACAACCGTCTATTTCATCAGGTCCTCGGGTTTACACCCAATAGAGCTAACAGACCTCACTTGAATGGATGGAACTTCTACTGGCCAAAAACATATGTACATGAATTCAACGAAAAGTCCATTTCTTTCTCTTAACTGCTGAGTTCTGAAACCGCCTATAATATTCTTCAGCGAAGACAATATTATCAAATTAACTAATGTGGTGGAAATACCGAATGTCAGATTTGCACCATTTTAATTTAGGATCAAAATGACATCATAAGAAGGTTAAGAGAGAAGATTCCATGTTGATATTTATTTCCGTTCTGGTGGAGTAACTATAGTAAGATTTTTAAGATTCATGCCATGGTGGTCATGCTGGATATCAGTTTCCTTATAGGACAAACTATACATCATGCGAATCGTTTCAGTAGAAGTGTACCTTCGGTATGACCAACCATTTGCATTTAGAGCCAAATGAAGGCAAGTGTGGTGGCAATATTGAATGTTTGCGCGGCACAATTCATTTACAACCAACTATAGATAATTTAAAAGTAAAATAGTAAATATTCCATGTTGATGCGACCATCTGTAGACAGAGCAGCAATTAAAACAAATGTTCCAGATGAATGCGCACAAGGCACCATTTTCGGTTAGGGTCAACCAGACATCATGCGAAATCTTCTGGTGAAAACCCAATAGCAACATTAGTTGCCATTCGGGCAGAGCAGCGAAAAAAATAAAGACATCAGATCATTTAGAAATAAATAGACACCATAAGAAGTCTTTCAGTGAAGAAGAGCAGCGATTTTCAGGATGGACATTGTGTTGGCCATACTGGACATCAGATTGCAATAATCGCGCTGTTCAGAGATTGTGAACGTAATGGTGAAAATAAAGGTTACTTCGCCGGATTGGATTCATGCAATGGTCGTCCTAGAGTGATGCTTTCGTACATTACTGTTTTCTTCTATTTAATGGATAGGTGTAGTTTTTCAGTCTTCTTACGATTCTGAAGTGATAAAAGACGAGTGAGAAAAGTGGAATCGAGCGGAGGGTTGTGGTCACCGTTGCATGTGTTAATTTATAATACCGTTAAGGTGATTTCATGTTGTCCGAAATTTAGTCGTGCTTTATTGATAAAACTGCAGACTCCTGTGGTAAATCCTCCAAGTACTTTCATCTGAGTAGTGACATCAAACATGTCCTAAAAGACGAACGGACTGCGCACGATATATGAACCCATAAGCTCTCCTGGTAGGTGTCCAGTAGAGCTAAAAAACCAGTCAAAATGTGTTAATTAAACTAAATCCCAAAATAGGTGCTGAAAAAACGTAGGACCGTAACATTGAGCTGATATTTTAACATGTGAATTTACAATGAGACTATGAGATCCATTATAAACTAATAAAATAACAAGTGAATTCACGACGATGCTGTGGGATCCGTTATAAACTGCCTAATAAAAGAACGTGAACGGACTCTAAAGGAGTGAGCTCATAACCAGACCCGGCTGGTTGCGTGTGTGAAGTGCGCGATGCACACATGAGCCTTTTCATTTCCTGTTTGTTTTATTTGCAATTTATTCGAGAAAAAAAAAACTTGGAAAGGTGCCAAACATTCATTGCACACACCAGAAAAACACCACGCGCCAGACGTGCTCATAACGTTATAATACTAATCAAATATTGCTGCCAAAAGAAGTTCAAATATTGATCCAGTAATGTAGACGATATGTATTAATAACTGTGTTTTCACAACATTCAATAAAAATGTTTCTGTACTGAAAGGAAGTCAATTCCTTAACACTGCAAGGACGTTATTTCAAAATACCTCAATGCCGGAAAACACCGGGCGTTAACATTTTTGGTCAGTTTATACAGATACACCTTAACCACTCAACGAGTAAAGCCTTTGTAGTCTCTAAACTCAGATTTAATAGGAATGTTTAAAATTGAGTACCTTCAACACGGCAATTACCAGCTTTATAAACGCCCTATTTATTGTTGAAGAGTGAATTAAATTACAGTTTATAAACATTTGATAGATAACAAGTAACAGGAAATGTTTGGAAATTTAGCATAATTTAAAGGACATTCAATCCATTTTCGTTTTGAAAAACTTTGTTAACTGATTTAACAAATGTTACATAAAAATTTACAATAACAGTTTGCAGTCGGACATAAATTTGCAGATAGACAAGTAGTTCAGAAGGTTGAAATGAAGTAGTACTAAGAATGTTGAAATGAAGTAGGCTAGTAGCAGGTAGATAAATAGGTATGTACGTACGTACATATGTACGTGGCATAAATGATATCGCAACAAACGACAGGCGGAATTAAGTAATTTATACACAAAAAATCTATTGCTTTGTTGAATTACAGGGTTCAGACCACTAATACATTCTGAGTTGAAATCAATGTTAACGTATGAGAAAGTACAACCATTTTGTACTCTAAATGGTCCAATACTTTATACATGCATATCTTCTTACTTAAAGTCAGTGCAAATTTTCTGCATATTAAAAAAAATCGATATTTCGCGGTATTTTCCCCCATATGAAATCAAGTTACTTTAATCAAATACCTCGCATCTGAAAAGCACCGATTAATTTGAGTATGAAGAGAACAAAATTGTTTACGTGCACAGACGTAATTTATGTGCAATTTGAAAACACTGATAATTGTATCGGAAAATTAAAGAAAAAAAAAATAAAATTATAAGCTAATATCAAAGCCAATGTTCCTCTGTCGAAGTGTGTGTGTGTGTGTGTGTGTGTGTGTGTGTGTGTGTGTGTGTGTGTGTGTGTGTGTGTGTGTGTGTGTGTGATTTTAACGTAACTTTTAAAAAAAATTCAGTCATATTGCTACGATATCTGCAGTGTGACAGTTTATAGTGACGTCTAGCACTAGGGTATCATACCGCAGACATGATGCATGATGTCCCACCCAGTCACATTATCCTGACAACAGGCTGACCAGTCCTAACACTAACCTCTTAATGCTGAGCGTCAAGCGAGGCAGCTGTTAGTACCATTTTTGTAAGTCTGGTATGGTTCGACAGGGCCGCTGTCGAAGCATTAAGTACGGCATCACATGTTCCGCTCTCAAAGTACTAAGTACTCTATCCAATGTAACGATCGCTTAAGTGTTAAGTACATCCAATGTTCCGATCTTTAAGTTCTAAGTACAGTATCCAATGTTCTGATCTTTAAGTTCTAAGTACAGTATCCAATGTTCCGATCTTTAAGTTCTAAGTACAGTATCCAATGTTCCGATCTTTAAGTTCTAAGTACAGTATCCAATGTTCCGATCTTTAAGTACAAAGTACTGTATCCAGTGTTTTGAGCATTAAGTACCTGTAGCCATCTAGCATGTATATAACATCGTGCAATAAATAACCCTCTACTGGCTGTAGGTAATTAGATAAAGAAGTACTTAGTAAGTTATACTTTAGAAAAAGCTTAACTGTTGTATTATTATTATTCATCGTTGACAATGATATTTAACTTTTCAATCACATCCACAAACAATATCGAGAAAGCTAACCTGGAGTTTCACCCTCACGCCTAGGACTTCATCAGCAAACTAATGAACATAGAAGACCAAGTTCAAGCGCGTCTAAATTATCACGTAACATCCACTATAATTGTTTTTGACATACTGTAAATTAGGACTCAGTAAAAAATCCTACATCTAGACCAAGTCTTATTTGGGCGGGGAAGGGGGGGGGCTTAATGAATCGATCTACATTCGTGCACGCAAACTAATACTGAATAGCGACGGGGGCCGTTACAACCTGTCGCATATCTGGGACAATCTGGTATTATCGCTCAACATCGAGTAATGTTATTTAACAGTCTGTGGAGAAATCAGTCTACTGATGAAGTCCTCCGCGTGAGTACGATAGCTTTAAGTTTGCTTTCTCGATATTGTTTGTGAACGTGAGTGAAGAGTTAAAAATCATTGTAAATATTATTAGTAAAGTATATTTACGTGCCAGAACGAGCGATTAATACTGTCATGAAAGACTTTGTTTATATCCACTCTGCCCAATACTATCAAGCACCATCCAACATCAGGTAAAGCACGTCGCAATCGTTAGTTAACAAAACAACAAGGTCATTAACGCTTTTACGACAAGATTAAACTGCAGACTAAATAACTCTTATAGTGCCTCGAGCCCATACCAACTACAAAAGTTAAACGATTTGGCTCTGCGCATATGGGCAGTTTATCTAACTTCTTTTTAACGTACATCGCTGTTTAAAGTGCCTTGTAAACGTGTGTGTGTGCGTGCGTGCGTGCGTGTGTGCGATTTGGCTGTTTAACGTAACTTTAATAATTTTTCTGCCATATCTAAGATGTCTACAGTGAGGCATTTTATAGTAATGTCTAGCACTGGGACATCATGCCGCAGACATATATCATCATGTCCCACCCAATCACATTATTTTGAAACTAGACCGACAAGTCTTAACATTAACCTCTTAATGCTGAGACCAAGCAAATCAGTTTCTAGTACCATTTTTATAAGTTTTTGGTATGACTCGGCCGGGGTTCGAACCCGCGACCTCTCGCATCCGAGGCGGACGCTCTTACCACTAGACAGCCGGAGCGGTCAGCCTTGCAAACGTTATCAAACTATAATATGGCGCCAAGTGTAGCATAACTTTATCAAATGCCTCCTGAATCTGTGTAACATTTACTGGTCTTTAACACATGACACCTCCCCCACTCTATAAAAGCCCAGAATTCCTCTCACCAACAAACGGTATAGTTGTAATTGCCAAGAAACAATTATTTCAGGAAAACGCCAGCATATATGTTGATATGTTCATAGAATTTAAAGGTTGCCATGAACAACGTGTCTAAAAAATCCTCTCTATATTTCTCCCCAATTTAAGTCTTTGTTACTTTTTATCAGATAATCTAGGCAAACTCCAAATCCAGCATATACACTGTATTTGTGAATTCTATTAGAATTTATAATTTGTAATGTTAGAGGTTAAGTATGAACATTCCAGTGGTTAGCACTAAAAGACCTTCCTGTTAAATGTTGATTATACCCTGATTTCAATGTGTGATCACAGAAAGGAACTCTGGACATGTTTCGTTTATTATCTGTTTTAAAGTTCGATACCATTTTTTCACCCATAGTTAGTTTAAATCACTGAAATTACAGTGAATCAATGAATGATTAAATATAAAATAATTTACCAATTAATTAAATTTAGACACGTAAATTAATAGTAAATTATCCAATGGAGAACGGTACATGAACTAAAAGTATTTGCATAATGTTACTGATTGACTTTTGTTTGGTATGGTTCAAAGGTAAAGTTAGATCTAAAAAGCAAAATGATAAATTATGAAAAAGTTGAGCATAAATTTACAGCAGGATATAATCTCATTTTATTTATGCCGGTGCACCCAGCATTTCCAAAATGCGATCAGCACATTTCCATTTCAATTAAATAATGCACTAATATAATTGGTTCCTTATACACAATACCATTGAAAAGGTTCTTTGAACATAATAACAAAAAAAAACACAGCATTTAAAGTATTGGGATATCAAATTGTGATCCGCCCATGGCGTAATAATACGCATATATAAACATTCTAGCGACCGTCTGCAGTTGATTCTTGATCAATGATGAATTTCCACACATTAATCATTAGTTACGGATGAAAATAACGACGAAAAGTAATAACAATTCCCCTTTTCTAAATTAATTTATTATGGTACACATTCACATCACAATCCTTTCTGATTTATATCCCCCCCCCCTCCGCTTTCATGCATACCGGACAAACTATACGCAGCAATGTGGAGTGAGAGAGAAAAGGAATTTGGACTGGATTATAACCTTGAAATATAAATTACACCAAGAAACCTACAAGAATGTGATTCATCGTAACGATACGTGTGCACTTACCTTGGGATTTATCTACAGTGTTTATCAATGATACAAAGTAGCAAACAAAGTCGATCTTGTACAGAAAATTCCTCGGTTACATGGTACACATACTTTGACGTATGTAATGTTTCGTTGTTTTTTAAAACATAATAAAATGTTCTAAAACCGATTATTATTAATAAAATATGAAAATGTCGAAAGGCCCCCCTCACCCCCCATCTCTCTCTCTCTCTCTCTCTCTCTCTCTCTCTCTCTCTCTCTCTCTCTCTCTCTCTCTCTCTCTCTCTCTCTCTCTCTCTCTCTCTCTCTCTCTCTCTCTCTCTCTCTCGGGACTGTTGTAGTCAGATACAGGCTAATATCCATGTAATATGAAATGAAGAACGCAGAGTATTTTCGTTTGTGTCATACCACGATATCTCATATCAGCCAGCCACAAATTTTGGCGACGGCACATGGTTGAGAACAGACATATTGTACAAAAACCATTTCCATTCTCGGCCAGTGACCTTGACTCTTGACCTTTCCAGCCCAACGTCACTAAGCATCTACCTTACTCTAAATGCATATCACTCATAAAGTTTATATTATACGAGAAAAGCCATTCTACTGTAGTCATTTTTCTTCTCTCAGTTAGTGACCGTCACTTTCATTTTCTTTCGGGTCCGAGATTAACAGGCCCCTTCCGTTCCCAAAGTACGTGTCGTCCACAAGGTATGGCACAGGTTGTGGCGTAGAGATAGAGTCCTGGTTCGAAAACCATTTTTTTTTCCCAATACAATAAAAGTGACACAGATATAGCATTGATGAGCTTCTTCCTTATCCCGAATTAAAGTTGGGAAATGGCATATAAGAACTCGAATTGTGCCCAACCGAAATAGGGAACAGACGGACAAACGTAATAACATGACAGGCTCCGCCTTATGACATTATAAAAAAATTACTACCAAGCATATATTATTGTCAGACAGAGATCAAAAAAAATGTGCCGAAATAATAACTGTAATATTAAACAAAATATACAAAATAAGGAGCTCCATACAAGTGATTTAATTAATATACTGTCAGTCCGTATTAATTTCAGCTCAATCTTGTTTCTTCTCAAGGCAACTAGCATTATTTTCAACACTTATTAGTTTACAAAATTCCAGTATTTACTGGCACAATAAAAACCTAATACAAGATACTAAAGCGAGGCTTATAATGCTATAATAATCAGATGTACGAAAAGGACACGAACTGTCAAGCCAATAATTAGGTCTCCTCAACAAAGTCAATTAACTTCAAATCGTCCATTTAACATCAGTATAAATCAACAATGTGAATTCACAAGAGTTAATGCCAGTCTGAGTCCAATTGAAAGAGAGTTTACTTTGCTAAAACGTTTCAAAGTTATTTGTGGAAATTGACTATAATTTACTGTGGCAGATTTTGGCTCCTGCCTTTCAGCGCAATTGTCTTATCAATATCAGTAATTAGAGGTTAAAATTATCCATTTTGTCCGGTGCCACTTCACGACTCATTTGTCCAGAAGATGTGGCTCTCTAATTAAAATCTCTTCTTAGCATGTGGTATAATTACTGGTATTTTCGCCCACTGTAATTGAGCAAAATTGGGCTCCCAGCGAAATTATATGACACACTACTGGTTCTTCGCCTTCCTTCCGCCACATACAGTCTCTTTCAAGCGTAAGAATATCAAGGAATTCACGTACATCCAATTGACATATTGCTGATTGACATACATCCTATGTAGATGTCACATGACCTAATATCTTACATTCCACACGTACACGTGCATATGTATAAATGACGTAAAAGCTTTCTGCAAATATGTACTGAACCAACCATAAAAAGTAAATCAGAGTTTCGTGACTCCATTTTAAGTACATAGAGAATGTTCAATAAACTGTTGACAATCAAAATCTGCGGTTTCCTTTGCCAGTCTGGGTTTCACCTAGTCCGAGTTTATTTTGAACCTTGCAACCCCATTTTTGATATTTGGACATTTATGTTGGAGTGTAGGGTCAGAGTCCCTTGTCTATCGAAAAGTTGGAATTCGCCGACACCATTTGGTGTCGACATATGATAGCCGCTTGTTAGCAACAAACTTTAACGACCTTTCATCGAGATATACCTACATGAAAAAAGTTTGAAATAGAGGATCACAAATGGGTAATGATTTAATATTGAATTTATGAAATGAGTTGAACAATGTCCAGCTTTTGCAAGCATTGGAGAGCAAAAGCGGACATTATTCAACGAGTTTCTTAAATTTAATATTAAATCGTTACCCATTTGAAATTCTTTTTATCATATGGTTCGTATTTCAGTGGAAATTATTTAGATAGAAAGAAGAACGAATAATTTCGTTCATACTTATAGACGGTGCACCTTTTTCATTTGTTGTGCATAAAATATAGTCCCAAAACACAGCTGAACTGGTAAAAGTAGAGTATACTGTTTTACAAACTATATATCAAAGAAAAAGCTCTATCCGAATAAAAAGAACATTTTATAACGACAAAATCATTTTTCAAAACAGAATGATCAATGCGATGTGATGCTACCACATTGTTTGATACGGTACACCTTACAACAGGCCTACAGTAGAGTACATCTTAACCCTGAGTGTCACTTTCATAACTAAACGCTACATTTTTTGCGATTTTCATATGAAACAGGAATACTGGATGCCAAAATTTCCGCATTTACCGCAAAACATTTTTGACCGGATATTTGCAGCATTTGATTTGGAACAATAAACTGTTCAGAACCCGTCAACAAATTTCTTTTCGTATCGGATTTACATCCCATATATGCTACGTAAAGATGCTGTGGTTGGATAAAGTTCTGTTACTTAGGAGACCCATTTATGTCCAGATTCTTCTGTGAACAGAGGTGATTTTAATTACTTCCTTAAGTTAACATTTAAACCACGCTAGTATATACGGTAGATTATATGTCTATTTATGCCCCCGTCCTCGCTATCCCTTAGTTTTACTCCTTATTGTTGTTCTTGTCTTATAGTTTTACGCCATTTTTCTTATGATGGCATTGCTAAACATTACATAACAAACCCCTGTGAGGTAGCATATCCGTATTCAGACAGGTGAGATCATTTTTCCTTAATTTCCTTTCGCGAGTCCACTTAAAGAATGGCTGGCTGCCAAAAATGTTCATTCAAGAAAAAAAGAAAGTTTTCCCACGATCCCAGCCAACTAGTAAAGAGGATTATGCACAATAATTTCATTGGCTTATTTGGACCAATAAGAATCACATAAAGTGATATGTTCACACGTATAATATTAAAACTATGAAACTGCACAAACTGTAGGCGAAGTGTACCGACTAAGTGATAATATGATTTATTTTCTCAGAAATAGCGAGTATAACGTTCGTTATATCTTTCATCAGCTGAGAGACGATGACCTGAACTACATCATTTGCATTCATAGTCACATGACTATACAAATCTCTCAACCTGCATGTCAATGACATCAGAGGTCCAATAGTCACGTGATATCAACAATAAACCATTTCGAAAGTTGTTGTACATAGAATTCGAAAATATTAATTAAATGTCGCGTAATTTTTGTACATAGATATAATGCATACTTAATTTTCAACATATTTATTCTGAGAACAATGACCAGAAACATATCGGTATCGCAACAAGGTGGAGAAAACCATATTCATCATT